TGGGTTTTTTTTGTTTGTTTGTGTGTTTGCTTTTTGGTTTTGTTAGTTTGATTGGTTGGGTTTTGTTTTTAAGCCTGCTTCAGTGGAATGCTTTCTTTTTCATTTATTGATTTAAACTCTGGTCTTGTGTACATACCTGAACATTGTTGAACGGTTATTTTTCTAAATATGGTATGTATCATTTGAATCAACTTTTTGGTGTAAATTACTGCATTGTCATAGTTTTGAGGTATGTAGGACTGTACAATAACATTTCATGTTTAAAAAACCCCAGCTGAATACAAAAAATTATATGTGTGTACACCTGAACTCCTTTGGGAACAAAACCAGCAGTGCTGATTCCTTGTCCTCTATTCGGTTCCTTAGTGGGATCCAAAGGCAGATGTAATTTTGTGTTCAGAGACTGTGACAGCGCCTTGAGCACATAGAATCTAGACATGCTTATTAACATAAAATGCCCTTTTTGTATTTCCTGGGTCAACATGCATGTGCTGGTGTAAATGAATTCAGGACGCACACAAACTAATGATAAATTAAACCCCTCAACATCTGTGCTGACTGCTTGGTGGTTTTGTTCAACAAAAATCAGGAAGATTTGCCACATTACAATACAATTCAAAACCAACCAAACCCTCTCTACACCACTACCCCAAACTTATGTATGGAGTTACTGAAAGATGAGATTATAATCTTTATTGCTTCAGTAGACACAGGAAGTTATCAACAGTTTTGATTTTAAAATGAGAAGAAATCTCAGACTTTGGTTTTTGGGTGTTTTTTTGTTGTTGTTTTTGGGGTGCTTTTTTAGCTATTTGCTATATTCTAAAAAAATTAATTTGAGAAATTGCTGGTGGTATTTGATGCTGGAAGGCATATCTGTGTCCAAAACTAAGAATGCTGTGAAACACAAAGGAGAGAGAGAGGTTCAGGTTCTCAAACAGATAAAGATATAAACAGTAACAAATTAATTTCTAAAACCTTTCTGCGGATCTTTCTTTAATACCTGAGCTTCAGGGAACTTGATTAAGTAGTATTTTTTACTTTAAGATCTGTACTTGAAAGTTAAGACCTGAACTAACTAAATATAACCGTAACCACAGATGGAATTGTTCCTGTGCATTTAACTTTGCATTGGAGTCATTCATCTTACGGTTCTCAAAATACATTCCAACTGCTTCAGACAACAGGGTGGCAAAACTAGTGCATATGTATCTTTTCTGTGCTTAGTATCAGGATTATTAGTGATTCAAGTCATGATATTTCTTCTGAAAGTACATGAACAAAAAAATCCATTGCAGTTAAGCATGAAATTAACACAGTTGGGGGAAAAAATAGAAGATGTCATTGAATTAATGTTTTTCTCCAAAATTCCATTAGAAGAAAATGAATAGTCAGTGGTGTTCTAAATACAATAGATATTTTGAGTAAATGTGAGGGATTGACTTTTTGTTTGTTTGTTTTCCATAGAGAACAAATACTCATTACTTTTAGTTTAATATAACTATTGTTGAGGCTTTTTTCCAGTTATCAGGAGAATCCTCAATTAAAAGTAGGAACCAGAGTAACCAGATTATATAAAAGTGTATTTCTGGGAGTGGGGGGGGAAAGCTTTTATACAGATAATTTCCTATGGTGGGAAGTTGTGTTCTTTGCTGTGAGAAGGTTGAATGATGACTATAAAAATAAACTAATATTAGCAGTTTGGAAATTTTCATGAGCCCTGTTCACTTGCATGGTTTTCTTTTAAGTAAACCTTGTTTGCTGTTACTGCATGTATGTTATTGTGAGCTTTTTCAAGTAAAGTACTTTGCTTAATACAGAGTTTAGTTCAACCTTAGCTACAAAAATAATAAAAATACATTAGAATAAATTAGTCCAGTCAGGCGCTAAGATGGATATATACAGTCAGTCCTCATAATTGTGATGGCAGCATTGCTATATGTGTGCCATGTCTTTGTGTGCTACAGTTATCAGAAGTACATGAAAACTTGCAGACTGGGTGCGTTTGATGTGCTAGGAGACAGTGATGTTGTAGAAGCTAAAATTGATTACTTCTGGTAAGGAGTCGGCTGGTAGCAGCCTTGCTTCTGATTTAGGGAAAACGGGAATGATGTGTGAAGATGTTTTAAAACTTCTTACACTGGAAGTGGTGCTGGCCTACTAAAGCATATAATGAGCAGCTATGAAGAGTGTGTCACTTGAGGGGTGTCGAAGAAAAAAGGAAGTTTTTCAAGTGTTACATCAGCATCAGATCGGTGGTCAGAATATGAGAAGCAGTTTGGTAAGCAGTATAATCTAAGTGGGAGTATTTATTTTAACCCTCTTTTAGGCCACTAATATCTTTCACAGGCAGTAGTAAATTCAGTGTATATGGAAAAAAGGGTGATCATCTTGTTTTGAACTGGTGTGTTCTAGATAATGAAGATACTGTTGAGCTGTGAAAAAACCAAATTAGTATTAGAAGTGTGCCTATCAGAAATGAAAGCTTTAAACTTTTGTAGTATTTTTTTTTTCCCAAAAATGTAGTTTGGCTTGGAGGAAGCAGCTCAAAGGGAACTTGCTTTCCTAATAGCAAATGAGCAGACATAATGGACTTTACAAGGTACATTTCAGGCATTGTAATCTACTGATTGATTATAGGGGTTTTTTTAATACTATATGCCTTTTCCCACGTATTTGTAGTTTATTGAAACACTTCCTACTGTCTTGCTGTTCACATCCCCACAATTTTTAGTCCCTTCATTAGTATCTATTAGTGATTGTTATGAAGTACCTCATGTATAAGTAAAATAATAAGACTTTTTTTTTTTTTAAATGGCTGAAACTGAATTCCCAGTAGTTGATCATTTTTTATTATCTCCAGGTTTCTCTCACATTTTAAGTGCTTTAGCTAAAAATTTAAAAAGCTATGGTGAATATCCATGAAGTTTGTTACCTGTCGATTATAATATCTTACCAGAATGGCATGAATTTCAGAGATCCTTCTGTAGGTGTGGAAATTTACTCCAGATACACTAATAGCATCTTTGTACATTTTGACTTTTAGAACAATATGTCTTATGGGAACTAAACTTTCAGGCTTGGATATAGGCTGGAATGCTACGCATCTAACCAAAATTTTGAATGCCATCCAGAAATAGGCACTGTATCCATGGTAGAGCAGAAAGTAAGGATGTTGTGGTCTGGGGGAATTTGCCCATAAGTAGAAGTACTGCATTCATTCCAAAGTAAGTATAATAATTGTCCGTAAGAACAGAAGACTTCCTAGCTGATCTTTACTCATGAAAGACGAGGATCCAGATTGCTAGCAGTTTACTGGAATATTTATAGTGCAACACTGAAATACAGTGAAACACAGCCGGTGGACCCGTGTTCAAGTGTCAAAATCACTTTCATACTTTGTACTTTGCAAGTTAGCCTGAATAGAATATTTCTTAGAAAATAATGTTCTTAATCTTTGAAAAGTCCTTAATTCTAGCTTGTGAGCACTCTTGGGAGTTGATAGAGGAAAGGAGTAGCTAATTGAGTTGTAATAGAGTAATGTATTTTTCCACCCCTGCTGTTATTTCATTTAACTCAATGTGGGTAATGCATCACGTTTCTTCATGTGGGAGATGGGCATATCAATTTCTTGCTTTTTAGGATGAAGTAGTAAACATTTGCCTGTCATATATACAGTGTACAAAGTGTGAATGACAGTATGAAGATTTTCAAATAATAATATATTATCAAACAAACAGAGGAAGCACACATTTGAAGCTGATCTTGATTTTAACCCATGCACAGCTTTTTAAGCTGTGAATATTAAGTACTAGTGCCTGGTAGAATTAGTACTCTTGGGTCTGTGAAACATTCAATGCAGGTCTCTTTTTTTCTCTTCAGCTGATGTTTGATGTTGGCTTCTGTTGAAGATGGGTCATCCCAGAGCTCATGAAAATCTTCTGAGCGCTAGGACTCTTCATGTAAATGTCCTGGAATTACTTGATTTTTATTCAGGATGAACTGATTTGGTAGTTTAACTTCTGTAGCATTGATCTTTATGTACACAATTGGACAACAGGATAGGTGATGTAAGTGCAAGTGTGTATGGGTGCTCCCCTCCCTATTTCTGCCTCAGGAAAGGGGTAGTCAGCTGTGCGGCCTGTAGTTCTAAGTGGGCTTTGGGATTTTTTTTTTTTAAAAGTACAAGAAAATAAGGCAAGTCACACTTTTTGCAAACTGTGCTTTCTTTCATCCAGATTTTCAAAATTACTTGAAGAAAATAGACTATTAGTTGTGCCCCAGTGTATGTTTGAAATATGCTTTTAAAATGCTACCAAAAAGCACTGGCAAAGAAACTGGCTCATGTAATGCAAGGAAAATGCTTGCTCTTCAAACTCATAAATACTTTGAGAAATCTTAAGTAAGGCTATAGCTTGTGGCTTATTGTTAAGTATATGCATACATTCTTACAGAATGGTGATTTTAATCTTTTGATCAAAATCGGTGATACTTAGGAAATCAGCAGCGTGTGTCATAAGCTCTCAAGAGACCAAACTTGAGAACCTTCATGTCAAGGAGTCAGTTGTGGATATATGCAAATTAAAGAAGTAGCCAAGAGCTCAACAGCTGACATTCTTTTTCCATGGGTATTTGGAATTGACTACATAGTGTGTAACGTGGAGTAATTGAGAATTATACTGATAACACTTTAACATCTGTTACTCCATGTGTATAAATAGATGTGTTATTCACAAGGAATGCATCTTCATACTTGAATGTCTGTCTTGGATAAACAGTCATCCTCTTGTGTTTTGCTCTGGCTATAAAGCCTTTCTTAAGGCATATGTCACAGCTAGTAGATAACAATTAAGAAAATACAGAAAGGGAGAAGTTTTGCCTATGGGACCTATGTATCACTGCCGTTGCTGTTTTTCCAGTGAACCTCGTGTTTTGCCACTGCTCTGCTACATGATATTGAAATTCCTGAAATCATCAGATGTGGTTGTCTCATTGACAGCATGGAACCGTTGAAACAGTCTGCAGAAGCTATCAGAGAGATTGCAAAGTAATAATTTCTGAATGCGTTCCTTATCTATGAAGCTTATGACCTTCTGTTGTTTACTAAGGCAATTTAAATGTCATTACTGTTTGACTGTCTTGTGAATTTGTGTATTTTGCTGCGTTCTATGCTATTATTAACATTTTTGTATGTTTTAATTCAATCTTGTGTGTATGTCTACACTTACAGTACTAGAACTAGTTAACTAAATCTGAGTTTGACTAAAAGGCTCTTTCCCATTTCAGGGAAGGATGGGGTTAAAGCTGACTTTTGAAATAAGTTTTCTGGCTTCTAGGTCATCTAATATTTTATTTAAAAGAACTCCACCATGTCATTTAGGTGTAATGTTTGCTTTGAATGCATTGTGTGTGAGTGAAAATTTGCTGTGTATCTCTGAAGTTGTAAACTATAACTTCTTGTATATAAATTGAATAGAATTAGGAGTTGAACAAGCAGCCTGAAAAATAAAGGACAAATAACATCTTGCAAATATTTATTTTTAGTAATTGCCAAACTGCCTTAATATATGTTTATGTATGTGTGGGTTTTGCCTGATAGTAGCTTCCAGTCTACATCTGTTTAATAGATAAACATTGGAAAATACTGTATAATTAATTTTTAATAAGCATAAAACATATCATTGTTGTAGGGAAAAAGATCTTGCAGACGCTTTAGAAGAAGGAGGCTGTGATCTTGAAACTGTGAGAAATATCATTCAAGGAAGGCAGTTGCCTGCTGATCTGAGGGCCAAAGTCTGGAAGGTAAATATGATCTTAAATCAAGAAACAAGAAATACTTGAAGTTGTGTTTGATTTGAGGTAAATTATTTAATTACCAGGCATCTCTACAGGAGGGATGTAGGACTGGAATTTAAATATGCATGTATGTTGATTCAGTTTTAGAATATTCGTCTTTATTGAGTTAAATTACTGAGTTCAGTAATTGGGTAACTACAAAAGGACACTAAAATGCTTAGAGGGTTTTCTGTTTTTCTTTTCAGATTGCACTTAATGTTGTAGGAAAGGGGGACAGCCTAGCATCCTGGGATGGCTCTTTAGACCTACCTGAACAGAGTATAATTCATAAGGATTGCCAAGAGCTAATTGGTAAGTTCAATTACATTTAGATCACTTATGTGAAAACTTCTGTATTCTCAGTTGTCTTAGGACTTTGTTATTTGAATTAAATAATCTGAATTATGTTTACATTTTGGAGGAAGCTTTGAGGTGGAAGATGAGAGAGCAGAGAAAATCAGTAAGAAATCATTAGAAAACAGTAGTATCTTATCTGTACTCTGACTCTGCGATGGGTAACATTATGGATGTTGAAAATACTAGCTTGTTAGTATGTATGGTCAGGAATCTTCAGGAGTTGAAAAAATTGTCATTTTTTTCCAAGCCCCATCATTTAAACCAGACACTTTCTCTATAGTGTCCTTCAAGTTTTTAATTATCTAAGACTGGTTCTTAATCTGAAAAGCAGATGTAGCACCAAAACACATGTAACCTTGAAAGCAAGATATATACTAAACATTTTGGACTTTAAAGACTTTTTTTAAGAAGGGTATTTTTTAATACCATTTTCAGCAAAAATTATAGGTTTTAGTTTTGAAAACAAGATGCTGCCAAGACATTGGAAATAATGTTCCAGTATGTCTGTAAGGGGCTGTGAAAGGATCTGGTTGGTAGCTCATCACAAAAATGGCCAAATCCCTGATAGCATGCAACAGCATTAATATCAGTGATGGAGTCAATGCTGACTCATAAGTAAGGATACGACTACTTCTGGTATCAATAAGAGAATCTTCTATTTTATTACTTGTCATGCTTTAATTTATTCTTGCATAATTGAAAGTTAAAGCAGAGAATGGAGTTATTGCATGCATACATGTCTACCACTTCTAAAATGCATTTCTACGATTTCTAGCTCTAGAACGGGGGAATTCTAGAGAGAGGTGAATTCCCACAGTGTCTTTTCAGGAAAATGGAAAAATGTCCTGGTTAGTGTTTATAACATAAATAATTAAGCACTTCAGTGTCTGTTAGTTGTCCTTTTGTCTTTATTGGAAAATACTTTGTAATATGTAACAATATTAAATGGATGAAACTAATAAAATTAAAATTAGTTCAGAATGAAGGTTCTATAGGGATTGCCGTTTTGGGTTGAATTAAATCTCTCTATTTCCATGTTTTGGCAAAGCAAGTAGTAACCAAATTCAAAATAAATCCTCAGATGGCATTTGAATTTTATATATTATTTTATTGTCCTGAGAGGTAGAGGAAAGGAAATGCCAAATATTGATTGGCTTTGATGGGAAAGTATTAAAGACTTCTGAATTAAAAACTTTATTAACAGTAGTGAGACTCATGGGCTTATTGTAATTGAGGGGGAAAATGTTCACTTTATGCCACTGATTAATGCCACTGCATTAATGTCGTGTGTGGGCATCTCTTCTCTCTGTCCCAGACATAACACAGTTATTCCTTCTATTACTGTAAGTCAGTTTAGCTATAGTAAAATTGACATTATGTGAGTGGATTAAAACATAAATTTATTTATGAAATACATAATTTGGTAAGCATATTTAATATTTGTCATTAAAAAATCTCAAGGTGTTTAAATATTAACGTGAAAATCCTATGAACTTACGCTAAAGTCTGGTTTCACTGCAGTTTGTATAATAAATATCAGTATATTTAACTGTAAGTAAGCTAAGTAGTTGTTTCATCATATGAAGGAAGGCATAATTTGGTGTATGGTACTGACATGTTTTAGTATGCCTTTGATTCATTGCCTCAAGTGAGGTGGATGCCAGGACTTTTTCTGAAGTGTGTCGTCAGCCTTTTAAATAAAAGTCTGTGCAGGAAGACCTTTGGAACTAATTAAAACCTAAGCTTTGTGTATGTATCCAACTCAATGATGACAGTATTTAAAAAGCGTTTAGCCTGTTACCTTAATTACATAACTAGTTTTGTGTCCTTTTTTTGGGCCAATCTTCATCCAAACGCAACAGTATAGATGAAGGGTTCAGAATTAGTCTGGCGTTAAATAGGGGACATCTTTGCCACGAACATACAATATTTTATATAATGTAGTACATTGTTTCAAATTTTTATAAATGTTTATCTTCTGATTAGCAACAGTACCAAATCAAATTTAAAAGCCAGGTGTAGTTGTAAGTAGTCAAATCCTTTCTTTTTCTAGTTACCCTAACAGCCCCAAATTTAAAATAGTTAGGAAAATTACATTAAAGTAGAGATTAAAAATGTGTTTTATATGTTAATACTAACATTTAAGTCTGTAAGCTGACCTGATTTCAGACTACTGATTTTCATAAATTTGCTTGTCAGTGGGCTTTTGGGTATTGGAAGTATGCATTGTGGGTTGATCTATGTTGAAATTCAAATGAGCTTGGTGTAGAGTCGAACATAAAGTTATGCGCTGAACACACCAAATAGAGGGGCATTCTCTGCATTAAAAGAATCTACCTCTTTTGTTTCATATAAATCCTGGAAACACCAAAGTTCTTTCATCATGTTGTTGTGATATTTAAATACCTTATCCTACTGGAGTTATAAAATCATTTGTATTTTAATGCCTTTTTGGAAGCCGTTCTGTAAGCATTTAATCCAAGCTGCTTGGTTTTTGTTCGTCTTTTTTTGTTGCCTTTTTTTTTTCCTTTCCCCCCCCCCCGCTCCATTGGTACGATTGTTAATAAAATAATCTCATTCAAGTTCTTGAATGACTGTTAATACAGTTTATATTGCTGTGCTTATTTCAGACCAGTTGTCAGTGCCAGAAGACGAGAAGTCAGTACTACTTTTGGATATAGAGTCTGTTATTACTTTTTATTGTAAATCACGCAATGTTAAATACAGTTCTTGCCTTGGCTGGATTTATCTACTCAAACCTCTGGTGCAACTTCATTTGCCACGAAGTGATTTGTACAACTGCTTTTATGCTGTCATGAATAAATTCATCCCAAGGTAAAGCTCTCTTTCTTTTGCCTGTGTACTGTTTTCATTGGCATTAAAAGTATTTTCTGAAAGAATGTGCATGTTGGTTTCAGCTAGGGTAGCACTGTTAATAGCAAAGCTGTCAGATTCCTTCATATGCTAATAAATTGAACCATTTTCAATTCCTTATATTTTGAAGTCAAGGAGATTAGCGAGTTGGTTTAAGATGTAAAGAGCTAGTATGTGAATGATGTAGACTCAATGTGCCTTTTAAAGAACAACTGTTGTTTCATGCAGTATCAAAATAGTTGTTTAGGAACCATCTAATTCACATACGTTATATGAAAGCATTTTTATTTCTTTTCATAGCATTTTTGCTATCTAAAATGCTTCTGTCTCTGTTACTTCAAAGTACTTCATAAGCACTAATTAAGTCTCAAAAGCTCTTTAGAAGAAGTAGTTGATGTTTTCCCTGTTTTCTACTGACTTGGGACTGAAATTATTTCTTAAGTTGTTAGATTATTATTTTTCTAATAAAAAGTAAAAATGGAGTGTCTCGTGCTGTTGTATAGGTGCTCTCACTAAAATATTTTTTTCTGTATGTTGGAGTAGCACCACAACTTTCCAGCGAGGCTACAGGGGCTTCTGGTTAAGACATTGTGAAATAATACACGGATAGTCTGTAATTCAAGGTCTTAGTCTGAATCCCAAGGGAGGAGATTCTAGCCCAGCTACTTGGATGTGTGCCCATAATATGAAAAGTGTGTATTTGGTGCCATGACAGGAAGCATTTATCGGTCCTATCACTTGACTAATTTCTGATATAAAATACTGTTGGACTCTGTGGACTGTTTGAGGATAGTGGCATTATGGTCAGGTAATTCTGACGACTGTACTTTCAATGAAGGTTTTCAGAGTGTTTAGTATTTGAGTTTCTCTGGAAGAATCTGGTGGTGTTTTAACAAGATGTAGGCTGGTTTCTCTTCCCCCCCTCCGCGAAATGACTGGGAACAAAAATGAAAGACATAGAAAAGCAATTTATAGTAGACTTGCAAATCTCCACTTAGGTCAGTTGGTCTCAATTTGATGTTTGACTGCTGGGCCATCACTGCTATATGATAAAAGATTCATTTTTAACTTTCTGTTGGTTTTGTTTTTTAAATCATAAACTTCTTATTCACGCTTTCTCATGTTTTTTAAGTTTCATGAAATATTTATTGGGAATTTATTCTGACAAAACTATTGAAAAGAGGTGAAGAAAATGTGCAGCATAATCTGTTGGATTTTTTTTTTTTTTGAAAGAGAATCTCTAGCGAGACAAAGGAAGAATGAGGAAGGGGGAAAAAGCATAACAGGGTTTTTTAGATGAGAGAGGTTGCGCATTTTTGTTTTGAAAGAGTTTTTCTTTGGAAACACTCCTATTCTCAAGGCTTTTGGTATAAAGTATCCTGTGGATACCCGTCTTTCTTTTCCTCCGGCTTTTTCTTTAGAATGGTGAGTTTTCTGAACTGTACAAAATTAAGAAAGAGTTAATATGAAAGTCCAAGGTCTTTAGTATTCTTTGGGCCATAAATAGAAGAAAACACCATCTCAGATACGCAGTTGAGCAGACAATGATTTGTGTGAGAGCTTCTACAGTAGTAAACCAATTAAAAAGCTGCTGGATAATGGAAGTGTCTCCTCCCAGGGAGCACGTGAGGAAAGTGCATTACATCTGCTTACTTTACATGAATGTTACCTCTAACAGAGGGTATAAACCAACTTCATTCACTTAAAAAAACAACATAAAAAAAACCCCAGCACCAATTCTCCTTCCAAAAAACCACCACCATCAAACCACCCTCTCCTAAAGTGAAATATAGGTTAGTTTCCAGGGCAATTTAATTCTGTTTAGCTAAATTTTTTTTAAATTGCTTTTGCTTTGCTTTTGTTTCTTATCAGTCCTTCCAATGGTTCAGCCTGCTGCCTCCATGAGGCTTTCAGCATTGGAAGTGATGGATAAGTACAGGAATTCATAATTCTTGATAAGTGGGGGTTTTTTGTTGTTTTTTTTTTTCTGGGAGGGGGAAGGAATGGAAGGGGGTTGTTCTTGGTTGGTTGGTTCTTGTTTGCCTTGTTTTTAAACTGGGTATTTGTTTCAGGTTGATTACTGTGATAGGTACCAGAAGTAAAAAATTATTGAGCAAAACAGTTCAGAAAAATGTCTAAGCAAGGGTGTTCAATTGTCAGTAGAAATTTAGAAAGATTCTTTTTAAGTTATTTTTGGGTATATATCCATTCTTTCTGTTAAAAGGTGGTAAAGAATGACTGACTGACTGACTGGAGTAATTGGCCATAATGATCATTTAAACAGAGTTATGTGCAAGTCTAGATACTTAGGCTAAATTTTCTTCTTTTCACACTTCAAAATTTTTTGTCCTGTTAATTTAATGGAAAGTCAGAGTTCTTGTGATAATTTCAGAAAAGAATCTCTATATATAATTTGCTGTGAATTTCACCACCCTTGTTTAAGAAAGTTGATAATTGTGTTTGGAGATCTGTGTCAGGTTTCACACTAGTTTGCTTAAGTTTTTAAACACTTGAGATTTGTTCCTAGTGTCTTTAAACAACCATTTCTTAATTTTAAATACTGCTTGTTTCCTGCTCAGTGAATTGACATTTAATTGTTACCATGTATGAAATAAGAAACTTTCATATTTCCTTTGGTTGCTGTATTAGAATTATTTGTATGGGGGCTTTAATTCTATTTTCAGTTAACACTGATACCATTCTACCCTTGTTTACATATTTAAATCTGCTTTAAATACTTTTGATTATATATTCTTATCAAGTACTGGCAGTGTTTCATTATTTCTCCCACTTTATTAATATAGTGGCGGTTTCAGTCTTTGTGGGTTTTATGGTTGGTTTGTTTTTTAACTTTTGAGGAAAGTTGACTTCGTGATCAGTCCCTGTGACTTAAATGAACAGTATAGGAAATTACATAATCACAAATAATAAAGAATTGCTACTGTAAGTCTGACAACTGGAATGTTATGGAGAGGTATATGATTATTTTCACTGCTATTTTTTAGGGATTGTTTTATGAAGGGAAGACCATTTCATCTGTTTAGACTGCTTCTTCAGTATCATGAGCCTGAACTCTGCTCCTTTCTTGATACTAAGAAGATGACTCCAGACTCATATGCACTCAACTGGGTAATAAAGTGAAAGTAGGGAAACATAATGAATAAAAATTTCTGTTAAAATTTAAGTACATGTTGCCAGTTTATGGAAGAATCGTACAAGAGATTAGGACTGCATATATTGAAATAATTTGCATGTTTTAATGTAGTGTGGGCTTTTTGTCTTCGGTCATTTAACATAAGGTGTGAGGTCATGTTAAAGCCACGTTTTTATGGTTATGGATGTTAATTGGGCCACTGATGTTAGTAACTACTTTGAATAAGTAAGAATGAGAGCAAATGACACTCAAAAAGTAAGCAGCTGTGATGTTAGTTTTATAGTGGGCAGGTGTATGGTTTTATGTATGGATAAACATGAGCCTAACAGGTCTTTTAAAGTAAAACTGTGAATGGTTTTAAAAACCTCCATGCTCATAGATATATTTGACTGCCTCATATGGTGCTATGCCTTTTAGAATATAGGCACATATATTTTGCAGCTCTTCATTTCCTCCTCACCTTAACTTTAGAACTGCCTCAAGTTGGGGTAATTGTAAAATTGCTTACCTCAATCTTTTTTTTTTAATAAAGTTTGGATAGCAGCTACAACATAAAGCAGCAGAATTCTCATGTTTCAGTGCTTCTTAGTATATGCAATACAAAATCATGATGCAGTGCTCACAGAGGCAAAGTCTGTAAATTAATAAAGACTTTGTGACTCATGAACTCTTCTAGGCTTTTCTTTGACGCCTGTTGGCTTTGCAAAAATTTGTAACTCCATTTACTTTTGGTTTAAGAAATAAGACTGAAATGAATTAATGAACTGCAAGGTCCTTATTGGGGGGGGAGGATTGTTACTGGGTTTGGGGTTTTTTAAGATTTTTTTTTTTTGAGGCTGCTACCAATTTTAATATAAAAATGTCTCCAGAAAGAGTTTCCGTATTCTCAAAATCTGCCTTTTGCCAGTTGTCAGCCTTCAAAAGAGGAATCAGGTCACTTACTACTGAATCTCCCCTTTTTACATATCTATACAATTTTCCTTAACAAATACGAACTTCTTTGAAGTTGTTCATTAAGAGTTCAATGATTCATTAGGAAAAAAAAAAATCTCCCCTTTGAAAGGGATGTAAGGAATTAAGCTAGTAGAGCTGCCAGACCACAATTGGGTTTGCTGTGCACTCTTAGGAAAAAAAAAATCTTAAACCACATTTTATACTATGAGATTATATTAAAATTCCTTGTTTCATCTGTCAAAAAACTTAGCCTATGTAGAGATATTTCTAATAGGTAGCAAAACATAAGCAACATTCAAAGACTTGTCATTGGCTCATTGTTCAGGGACATTTTGTCTTCAGTTGTGTTTCACTCAGAATTGGATAGATCTTATTACCTTTTATTATAGAAATATACTAGGAAGTGTTGAAATATTCCATGATAATGTTTAAAAACAGATACCAAGCTTTTGAAAGCTGTAGCTGTGTTGATACAGAATTAGTATGCATCACCACATTCAGTAAGACCTCTGAGGCCAGCTGGTATGCATTTGAGTTAGGTGTGATTGCAAATATTATCTGGCATGTATGAAAAGTAGTTCCTACTTTTTCTTTTATCCACTTTGAACTCTGTGTATCAGAGAAGATGTATTTTTAAATAGGAGCATGGGAACAGGCAAACAATTTGTTAAATGGTCATGAAAATTTTCTGTTGCTTGCAAATGTTTAATTACTCAGCCACAGAGCATCATAATATAATGCTGATCAAGTGACATTGTCAAACTGATGTGCCACTGTGTTCAATTAGCTCAATTATACTGTGAAAAATAAAGAATGTTGTTTACAGGATCCTTTCTAAGTCCTATTTGCTAAGCTAGTTGTATAAATGCATTCTTTTATTGTCTAGTTGGTATTTAGCAGTGACTATGAGCTAAACAGTATTCCAGCCTGATTATTGTGTTCTCTCTGGTTGAATTTGCAAGGCTGACAGTATACATCTGAGTTTGCCTTCACACTAGGCATATTTATTGACAGAAAATCTGTAGTATTACTGCCGTGTTTCCATAAAAGTTATTTTTGAGGGTAGGACTATCTTTCAATACATTGTGCAAATGCATGGTTTAGCATAATGTTGTTGGTTTTATTTTCTTTTAGATATCTTGTATCTCTGTTTAAAATGTTGCCCCAATAAGATTGTTCCTGGTTATTGCTTTTTCTCACACTATTTTCCAAATTTTTAGCTTGGAAGCCTCTTCTCATATTACTGTTCAGCAGAAGTCACTCAGGCAATATGGGATGGATATCTACAACAAGCAGATCCATTCTTTATTTATTTCTTAATGTTAATTATCCTTGTCAATGCAAAGTAAGTGTATAATTACTTATTTGGAACATTCCTTGCTGACAATGTTTTAATCCACTTTTGTTTCATTTTGATTTTACTGACTCATCTATGCCTGTGATTTCACTGTTTTCAGAGACGTTATCTTAGCACAAGAATCAGATAAAGAAGAAATGATAAGTAAGTACTTCTTTTGTTTTATTCAGCTGCTAGTGAAATATTTACCATGTAATACAATCCCCGTTATTGTTTGTAATTGCTAAGTAACTGAATTATTTATTTCCCTGTTATTTTCTCATTAATGAATCCCCTCACCTAGTAAGTCCTTTCTAACTATTCTTTTGCTGCATCAGATTTGCCCTGTCTTTAACATTCTTTTATTTCATTTTAGTACTCCCACACCTAGTTTTATACTTCAGTTTGGAGTACTTGAAACAGTCAGCATATTTCTAAGTCCAAAGCAGCAGTTTTCAAATTTTTCTTTAAATCTATTGCAGTCAGTGCATTTTCCATATTACCTTCATATGCACTTGATTTGAGCCTAGTTCTTTGTTCTTGTCTTACCCTCTTTGGGTTTTTTATAGAAATTACACTAAATTTCTTGTGATACAATTTCACCTGTCCTTGGGTTTGTTTGTAGTTTTTTTGTTTGGTTTTTACATGGCATAATAAAATATATTTAATAATCTCTAGTAGTTAAAAATGAGGGTGCTTGGAATTTTTCATCTTTGCCATATATTGCAGAACTACACCCTTACCATCCCGGATCTATATAACAGTACCACTGATTAAGTACTGTGCTTTATGGATTCTCTTGGCCAGTCCTCTTTAGAAAAGGCAGCTGACTTAGTATTACAGCTGAAAACTAAAACTATACAGATGTAAGAGCATGGTAAAAAATAATTTGCACAGAAGATCTGAACTTCTAGCAATTAGCATAGGTTTCCTGTAGATAAGGAGTATTTCCTCTATGTTCTCTTTCTACCTGGAGAATGAATCAACATTCATGTTTAACCAATAAACTCAATTGTGTTATGCTTTGTTAAAAAATAAGTTATTTTATGATGTGAAAATATGTATGGTGCTTCTTTTCTTTATATGAAATAATGGTGCACTTAAGTTGTTTGTATGTCTCAGAGTTCTTGGAAACTTCACCAGCCAATCTTGATTTAGAAGATATAGAAGATCTCTTCTCTTTGGCACAATATTACTGTAGCAAAACTCCAGCTTCTTTCAGGAAGGTAATAATGAAGTAATTTTGAAATTCTTTTCTTTTTGGACA